AATAAAATATTGAGAAATAATTAAATGTTTTTAGTAAAATTTTGGTACAAGTGATCTACGGAGAGAGTTACAGAATTAATATAATTATATTAAATTTAATCATTTAATAATAAATATAATACCAATTTAATCTATTTTGTTGTTTTTTTTTCTTTAAATAAAGTACATCTCTAAACAATTTTTGAATTAAATTCGATTTTTCTGCTCTACTAGTTCTATATAAATAGAATATGCAAGGTCTCTAGAATTTCTTAAAATGTTTTTCACTAAGTTGCTTTTCAAGTTTTATTAAATGTGTCAAATCTTTAATAGATCTTAACCAACTTCTTGGTAATAATTCTTGCTTATTCTTTAAAATGTCTTCTTCAGTCAGATTATTTTCAATAATGTTATCAATTCTTTTGATATCTTCTAATCTTTTTTCATTAATTTTATCAGAACCTTTCAATTCATTTGCTGTTGCAAGATATTGATAATTTCCAAAAACAAAAAAGCCATTCTCTTCACTTGTTAATTCAGTTGCTTTCTATTTTGCCAATGTGTGTTTTTCAATATAATCTTTGTTACATACATTACAAATCCTTTCTTTTTCATGGAAATCACATCGATACTTCTTTTTATGTTTCAGATTTTTGCATCTATTCCACTTTTTCTGACTATAATCTCGATTTTGATCTGAATCTCCATTAAGATATTTTGGAAAATTTATGGATCGATGATCAAATAAATCTTTTACACTGGTCATAGTTTGACATTTTTCAAATTGAAAATAAGCTTGTTTATGGAATTTTCCATTTTCTGTAGCTTCATATTGACCAGAGCTGAATGTTAAATCCTTCTTTTTCAATAGATCGAATTCTTGTTGTGTTTTTGGAAGTACTCTTTTAGATTCGATATTATCTTTTTATATGCGTCACAGATAATATCATTACATGCATTTAATTTACAACACTCTATACATGATTCTAATTTGCATCTCCAATGTTGTTTTTGGCATTTATTGCATGTAGAAACTTCTCCAATACATGCATATTCTTCTTCTCTTTCTTGTTTTTCTTTTTCAAAAACATTTTTTTTACATTTAAAATGTTTTAAACATGGAATATAATAATAAATTGTTGACATAATATGAAAAAATCTTTGATGAGACATTTTTTTTTAAAAATGACCAAGGGCAATTTCTATCCTTTTATAATTTTATTCAAATAAGAAGTTTATTTATAGAAATAATAAATAATACAAATTATTTTTAGATATTTATTTTTAGACCAACTATTTTTAGAAAACTATTTTTAAAAAATTATTTATAGAAACAAAACATTAAAAATCAAGAAGCTTATTAGGATCATATTCATCTTTATCTTCTTCAAGAAATTTGTATTCAATATCATCATCTGAAATAATAGTTACAGGAATTTTATAATCAAGATAAATCTTTTCATCTTCATTGTCTTCGAAAACTTCTTTATCATTTTCAGAGTTATTATCTTTATAATTTTCATAAATTTCATCAACTATGTCGACATCGTTGACAAGTTCGATTAATACAGGATTTCTATTATTGAAGGTCCATTTAGCATAATTGAAGCTTGGACCAAAGAAATCTTTGTACCATTTGAGCTCTTCAAGCAACTCATCTATAAAGTTATTCTTATTGTTGATAACATTTTGTAATTTATCAACAATGTAATTCTTTTTATCAATAACATTTTGTAAGTTATTGATAATGTGAAAAGATGCTTTTTTGATCTCTTTAACTTTTCGATCAAATTCTTGTTTGTCTTGTTTATGATGTTTTTTCTCTCATTTGTATTTTTCAAGGCTGATGAATTTGTCAGTCTCTTTTTCTTTCGGAATTGAATACAGATATTCAGTAACTTTTTTAGAGATAAATGTGAGTGATTTTTCATTTTTCAGCATTTTTTTCAGTTAAATTACTGAATCTTATTGAAATAAACACTTTCTTTATAAGTAATTTTGTTGATGAATTCTTAGTTTTAATTGGTTGTTAATTTCATAAATAATTTCCTTTTGTGTATTCGAATCCGATTACAAGGATTTGAACTTGCGATAAGCATAAACCTTAAATCATTCTTAACAGTCTTGATTGGTTCTTATAAAATTCATTAATTTCCTTTTAAGAGAATTATTAATTAGAAATTTCTATACAAATCCGAATATCATAACCAAATCAGTAATTAACTGTTTGGTAATATTTCTAAAACAGTTAATTACTGATTTAGAAATTTGTTATTCTTATCTTATCTTATGTTTATGATTAGCAAATATATGACATAATTATTAAATTCATAAATATAAAATATTTATTTCAATAAAGCGAAATCAGAAGGTTTATATAGTTGTTAAATATTTAATAATTGAATATTTATTTAAATTTAATATAATATAATTATACAATAAATATAAATAAAATAAAAATAAAAATATCATGTTATTAACGGATCTTTAAAAGAAAAAAAAAATAAGTATTAATTAATAAAAAAAAAACAGACAATGTAAATTATAACATTACATCTCTTATCTCCTTGCTGACTTTCTTGATTTTATCCATCTTACTCTCGAGTGTTTCATTTCTTTCATATTTGACTTCGAAATTCTCTATTATTTCATTATTGGCATTGTTCGTAGCATTTAGTTCATCATTTTCTTTGGTCAGATCATTATTTTTATCAGTCAGTCTAACATTATCTTCATGCAATTCTTTATTTTTTTCTTTTATTGTTTGGTTTTCTTCTTTTAATTTTTCATTTTCCTCTTTTAATTCTTCACTTTTAGCATTTTCTTCTTTTAATCGTTTGTTTTCTTCTCTTAGTTCATTAATCAGAGCTTGAACACGGTTTACTTGTCCTGATTAGCTTGACATTATAAATTGTTTTATCGTTTGTTTATTTTTTATTTTTATTTTTTTATTTTTACAAAAATATTTGTAAATTTATATAAATTTATTTATATTATTATTTTATTTTTTTTTTATTTTAATACAATATTTATTTTAAAATAAAAATTTATAATAAACAATAAAAAAAAACATTTTTTTTTTTTGTTTAATAGATAATATTTTATCATTAATAATAATAACAAAAAAAAAATAAATATATATTTTATAAAAAAAAAAAACAAAAAAAAATTAATATCCTCGACAGAAATGCTGTCTTCTATTTTTTGATTTCTTCATTTTTGTTTTCTTCTTTTGATTCTTCATAGTTTTTTTTTGTTGATTTCATAAAACTTACTTCAGTTATATCACGAGAAAACTGAACAATCTTGTCAAGTTTTTGATCGATACTTTCATTTTTGTCAAAGTAGATTCCTGCATTATTTAATATTTCTTCAAGTTTTGTATTTATAATATTCGTATCATTTTCTTTTAATTTATTTAATAATTTTGTATAGCCATAAGATAGTTGTTGTAAAAGATTAACAAGCCAACGAGTATGAAAATCATTTATTCCTTGTCCACCCAAATTTTCGAAATCACTAACAGAATAATCATATGTATTATTGCCACGATATTTTAATTTAAGAGTAGGGCAATTTATTTGTACTGCAGTTTTTTGAGTGTTTGAAATTGGACCATATGTTGGATGATGTGAGTTGTTATGATTAGGGCAATCAAATATTTCAGGATCATTACAAATTCTTCCTTGGTAATTACCGATTCTTTTTGACATTTTTAATAAAAATCCAAAAAAAAAGAGAGAATCTTTATATAAATATTATATTGAGTTATTTTTTTTTTTAGAAAAAAAAAAATAAAATAATAATAATCAGAAAACAATAGTATTCTTTTTCTTCAAAGTGATTGTTTAACCAAAATAAGACATATTGAAAGAAGATAATCTATAGACATAAATTAGTCAATGATAAATATTAATATATGCACTTTTTTAACAAATAAATAAAGTATTAAAATAAACGCCAGCTCAAAAACAAAAAAAACTTGATTGATATTTTATTTAATATAATAAATATTTATTTATAATTATACAATAAATATAAAATAAAATAAAAAAATAAAATAAACAATTTATGTTCATGTTTATTCTTTTGATTTAATTGATTCGTTATTATCATTATCATTATCATCATCATCATTTTCTTCAGCGTCTTCATAGAGTTGTGCATATTCAAGGATTAATTCTTCGCTAATTCTTTGTCTTTCGTTTGTGGGTTTAAAATTAAAAATCTGATAACTTTTTTTAATTTTACAATTAATGATATAAATCTTATTTTCTTTTATAAGTTTGGATTTTTCAGGATTATAGAAAAAAACATATTGGTTCGGATGATTAAGTAAAAAAAAGTTACAACCAGAAAGAGGAAGTTTTGTTTTTCTCTTTTTTTCAGTAAAATCTTTGCATATAATTCCATCTGGAATATCGATATTTTCACCATTTCTATTAACAAATGATAATTTTGCGCTTGCTATTTCATCAGTTGTTTCAACTTTAATTTTAAAGAAAAGACCAAGAAAATCCTGTTCATCAAAATCATAAACTACTTTATTTCTTTTGTTTAAAGAAATATTCAAAGTACTTGTTGCCATACTAATACAAAAATATTAATTAAAATATAATATTAATTAAAAAAAAAACAATAGTATAATATTTACTTGTTAAAAGAAAAGTCAGGGCGTTGAGAAAAATCTAATGAATCCATTTTTGTTTTGATTATTTTATTCAGATTTATTTTATATGTAGTAAAGTAAAAGATCGATGTTTTTATACTTTTTATTTATTACTTCAATATAAATATTTAGATTATCTAATATGCAGTTTATCTTGTTCAATGAAACCAAATCAGGCAATTGATTATGTGAGTATTCATTCGATTTATTGGTTTATTAAATTTTTGATTTTATTATTTAATATATAAATAAATATTTATATTTTATTTAATAATATAATTAAATGAAAAAAAAACTTTTAGAAACTATTCGAATCTAAAAGAAAAAAAAAATAACTATACTATTTAATCATATCTAGGGGGAGCATTCTCACTAAGTTGGGTTCGTAGAGAATTGATAGTTTGTTGTAAATGAGCGATAGTTTGTTTATAATCTTTTTCTCTTTTTTCCATTTTTTTTAGTTTTTCACTACAATCATATTCATATTTTTTTCTCATTTCATCGATTCATTCTAGTTCATTTTTATGATTTTCAATTAAATTTTTAACTTCATTTTTCTTTGCATCAACTAATTCTCGGTAAATATTGATTTCATTTTTATGGTGTTCTTTTATTTCTTGTTTTTGGTTTTCAAAAGTTTCTTTGAGATAATTGATTTCGTTAACATGGTTTTCTTTCATTTCTTGAAGTGCAGTTGTTAATTCATTAATTCTTTCAATGAGTTGTTTTTTAGTGGTGTTCCCTCCAGACATGCTATTTGTTAAAAAAATATATTAATTATACAGTTTACATTTACTACAATTAATTAAAAAGTAATAATAATATATTTACTCGTTAAAAAAGTCGTTAATATGTTGAGAGATCTCTGAGAATTTCATTGTTATATCAATTGTTATTTATGCAGATTTATTTTTATATGTAGTAAAATAAAAAATCGATGCTTTTATAGTTTTTACTTATTACTTAATTTAGATTAATTCATGTGTAGGTTATCAATATTTAAATAAGTCCGAATCAGGATTATCTAATATGTAGCTTATTACTGATTTAGATTAATTCATATGTAGATTATTCGCATTTAAATAAATCCAAATCAGTAATTGATTATGCCAAATCAGTAATTAATTATGCAGGCACATTCATTCAATCGATTGGTACTTGCTATTTATGGCATTTCATTCTAAACTTTAATTCTAGACTCTGATAATGATAGATTATAGATAAGAAAAACTTTATTCTTTGTTTTTAAACGATTGATTCAATATGATTTTATATAAATTGTATTTTTATTTTATTAAATAAATAAATATATTATACATATTTTTTTTAAATTTTTAATAAATTATTATCGATTGATAATAATGATTTATTATATTTAATATTAATTAAATGGTAAATTATAAAACATAAACAGAAAAAAACAGGTAAAAAAATAAAAAAAAAATAAAAAACAAAAAAAATAAATTAAATGATTATGTTGGATTTGATGTTTATCATATTGATTTTCTAGTTTATCATATCGTTTTAAAAGTTTATCATATTGTTTTTTTTCTTGTTCAAGTTCTGTTTCAAGTTTAATAATTTCTCTTTTTGTATTTTGTAATTCGTTAAATAAATGACCAGGATCAAGTTGAACTTTAGACATACTTTTTTTTATAAAAATAAATTATTATTATTATTTTTTTAAAATAAAAAATAAGCTACTTACATTAATACAGTTAAAAAAATACGTTGAGATGATACTAAAGAATTCATTTTTTTTTTTTTTTTTGGTTATATATAAATAATGTAAATGGTTATTTATATTATTTTATGATTATTATTTAAGGCATTTTCATACTAAACTTTATTCAAAGGAAAGAAAGATTTTATTGATTCTAGATAAGAGTAACGTAAATAATTACAATAGAACATCGTTTATTTCCAAATAAGTAACTAAATACTTACATAATTGATTATATAGGCATTCATTCAAACGATTGGCGATTACTATTTAAGGCATTTTCATACAAAACTTTATTTCTATGACCTTTATTTCGATTTGAATCAATGAAAAAATTTTTATTGGTACTTTATTTTTTTATCTTACACCAATCTGAACACAATCGATTCATTGTGTTCACTATTTCCAAGGTGCATATCACATATCTTGATGAGACGAATTTCATTTTCAGCGAACATCTATAAAAATTCTAACAAAACATTTCTCTGTTCTTTACGATTTATTCGTTTTACACAACTTTAGTCAATACTACCTTCAATCAAAACTTTCAATAAACAATACATATTTATAAAAATGATTTTCAAAATCTTTTTCTCTTCGATTGTTATTTTTGTTATCTTTGGTTTGTTTTTAAAAAACATTTTTTATGGTGAATATAAAAATTATATTTACTAATTAGTTATTAAATTTGTATATTCAAGATTATTCTTTTGGTTTTGGGCAATTACTATCTATTTGATAGTAGTTTTTGTAACGATTTCGATCATTTCGTTACAATATTGGAATTTTCTTTATGAAAATTTCCCAGAATGATTTATTTCATGATTGCTAAACCAGCAATCATGTAAATGCTGAGTTTTTCTCAGCAAATATGTAGTATTGGTGTTTGCCAATACTTTAGAAGACGATGAAATTTTTATTCATTACATATATTGAACTTTACAAACGATGCATGATTTGAGTTATTCGGGTTAGCAAATTAGTTATTGTTATAATTTATACATTGCATATTGCATATCTTGACGAACATTAGCAGAATCTGATTACCAGAACTGCTATAGATAATTTAATGCATCTTAAGAAAATAAGATGTTTTTTTTTAAATTATAAAAAATCTTTCAACAATTAAAAATAAAAGCTCTTAAAGCTTTTATATAAGAAGCTAATAACATAGAATTAAGCCATGAACAAAGAAACACTTGGATCACATATAAGAAATCTGATTTTATTTAATTTATTTATAATTATTTATTATATACATTAATTTAATATACAAGATGATTTTTAGCATATTCTTCAAGATCGTTCCATGTCCATAAATACTTTATATTATATTTTTCATATTCTTCATTTATAACTTTGAAACAAAAGTTAATCAATTCATCATATTCTTTCGTTCGTAATTCCAAAAGATCCATACTATCATTCATCACATAATAGTAAAGTCCTTCTTCCCAATTATGAAAATGTGCTCTTATATGAAACTCAGCACATGAAATATGATTAATTAATTTTTTTTCTTTTGTATCATAACTAATATACATAGATGTGATAATGTTATGTTGAAATAAATGATCTTTGAATAATTCATAACTTGTAAATATTTTATAATCATTTAGTTTTAAAAGTTCAATTTCAATTTCTTTTTCTAATTGTTCATCTTCTTCAGTGATTGTTAAAGGGGCTTCAAAAACTTCTTTATCGATTGTTGATGAAGTTGAACAATTCCATCTATAAAAATCTTCATCAAAAACTTTATGTATTTTTTGTTCACATTTAAAAAAGTTTACAATTTTTTTTAATAAAAACATTTTGTAATAATTTTGTTTATATTTTTAATTGATAAAATTTATTATTTGATAAATTTAATAAAAAAATAATTGAAAACTTTGTCTTTAAATAATAAAATTTTCAAAGTGAATTAAATACAAATCTAATCAGGATGTTCAATTTTTTTAGAAGGTTCTTTTTTCGATTTCATAATATTCATGAAATATGTATTAATATTATGTTGCTGATAAAGAAGTTTATCATTATGAAAAAGTTTAAAGTCTGAACATAAAGGACTAAAATTAATCATGTAATCATCTTGTTGACTGTATTTACCACCTTCTTGAAAAACAAAAGTTAAGGAGTATCCATTTTTTTCGATATCTTGAATTTTTATTGGTTCATCTTTTTTGTATATGTGTAATAAAATTTGGTCAAATGTTCTTCCAAATTGAAAAAGATAAGACTTGTATAAATTATAAATCGAGAAAATTTTATCAACCATTTTTTGTTAAAAAAAAAAAATATTTGAATAACTAATCCTTTTATAGAGTTTATCCAGAAAAGTAAATATTAAAATTTTTATTTTCATAAACAAGTTTTTCATTATGGAAAATCTTGAATTCTATGGGATGTAAACATTTTGGAAAGAATAACTGCTTCTACAGATTTCAAATATTTTCTTTTAAGGCTTTTTGTAGCTTATCATACTTTTGTAAAATCCACAGAAACGACAAGAAAAGAACCAATAATTTTTATCTTTCGATTTTTTAAACATTATTTTAAATGAATTATCATATTTACAAACTTCACTATAAGTAAAATTACCAAGATAATACAAATTAAAATATTTAAAACAACTAAAATTGATTACAAGATTAGATATAATATCATTATTTTTAATTACGCAAAGATTCAAAATAATCTTTCCCCAGAAATTCAAAGGTCTTTCTCCGATAGCTTCAAAAAGATTCGTACAATTCTTGTAATTATTAGCATTAAAATATGATAATTTATTCAAATTCAGTAGAATTTGATAATCACTTGAATGAATTTTATCATCTCTTTTAATTATTTGTATCAAGAATTCATTTTCAAAAAGATGACTGAACCATTTATTTACTATTCTCATTTTATTATATATCTTTTTTAGATGTTGATGATATGTAATTCTATAGTAATGATAAAAATATTTTGTGATATTTTTAAAAATATCATCACATAAACATTTTATCACATTTAGAACAATTTCGTTTGAGAATCTAGGAAGATCTATTTTTTTTTATTTTGTTTAAATAATATTCTTTGTTTAAATAGATTTTTTATTTTATTTCAATATTTGAATGAATTATTTTAAAGTTTCCAAATCAGAAATTATGAATATGGCAATATTAATTTCCAAATTAAATATTACTAATTTGAATATATTAATAATTAAAGTATTCGAACTTTATCGAAAACCTATTCACGATTATAAATTCTAATTGGCTAACAATCAAAGTATTTGAACTTTTACTGAAAACCTATTCGCAATTATGATTTTTGATTGGCTGATTCAATAAACTCAGATTTTTGTGAAAGTTGATTGAGATACAATGCTCTGATTGGATAATATCCAATAGACTCAGATTTTTGCGAAAGTTGATTCGAAATATAATATTTTGATTGGGCAACATTCAATGAACTCAGATTTTTGCGAAAGTTGATTCAAGATATCCATTTCAGTTACCAGTTTTCTTATTATGTTCCAGTTTGAAATCTATAGCCATCTGTTTCGCTTGTTTGTTAGTCCTTTTCTTTGTAATACAAAAATATTTATATTTTTGTTATTTTTCTTTCATTGAAATCTCCAACTATTACAAGATTTATCAAAATATATTCCATTTAACCCAGACTTATTATTTTTTTTTAATTTACAATTTAATTGATTTTCCCTCGGTGTTGTTTCTCGAAGATTATTTTCTCTATTATCAAGACCATTTCTGGTTATGTGATCAATTATTTTGTATTCAGGACGAACCATTCGATGAAGATATAAAATTTTATAATTATTTTCTTTATCAGTTGTACAAACATAATAAATATTTTTTGTTTTATGATAACACCAAGTAAAATTCTGTAAAAGATGAAAGTTCTTGATATCAATCAAGAAAGTGATGTCTGGTTTCTGTGTTTTCACTTCCAAAATAAGTTTGAAATCAATCTTTACAAATTAATACTCATTCAATTTTAATCTTGGTTTCTCAGAATTCACAAATTTTTCCCAGTCTGTAACAACTTCAAAATTTTCGAATTTCTCTGGCCAAGACATTTTTATTCAATCAAAAATACAAATTTAAAGCATTTATATATTTATTTATATATTTTTGATAAAATATTTATTATTCAGTTAAAAAAAATTTTACATTTGCCAGAAATATTAATTTCATCTTTACTAATATTAACGCAACTATCTTTATCTAATTCGATATTATTAATCATATTTAATTTTTCTCGTTTCTGTTTTTTAGAAGTCTTGATTTCTTCAATTTTTCTTTTAACTGAAATTAAAGCTTGTCCAGTTTTGATAATTTCTTCATCTTCATGTTCAGTAGTATAATTATCATTAACTTTGTCTTGAACAGTTGCATGATATTTATTGCTATTATAAGATTGAATCTCTTGAATATTATTTTGAATAGTAAGAAAATTTGAGTTTTCTTTACGTTGAACATGGTTAATCCTTTTAATGTTTTCAAATCTTTCTTTTTGTTTTTCTACAATTTGTAGATATTTAGGTTTATGATATTTAGTGAAATGATTTTTCAAATTAGTCACTATTACTTTAATCTTATAAGAAGCATTGCAAATATCATATTTAAGTTTGGTGTTTTCGATATTAGGATGAAAATAATTTCGAATTTCATAAGTGTTTCTCATTTTGATATTGTTGTTAATTTGATTTTTTTAATGCCTTTTTTATAAGTTTTAATTCATTAGTATTGAATTTAATAATGTTTGAATACTTAATCGGTACAAAATTACTGATTTATTTTTTACAAATCCGTAAAGTTACCGATTAGAATTAAACAATTTAATTAATTTCCATATCAGAAATTATGGATATGACAATATTAACTGATATGAGCAAATTTCTAAATCGGAAATTACTGATTTGGATATGATTTTCGATTTTTTTAAGAGAACCAATCAAGACTGCTGAGAATAATTTAAGGTTTATGCTTATCACGAATTCGAATCCTCGTGATCGAATTCGAATACACAAAAAGAAATTATTTATAAAATTAACAACCAATCTAAATTTATAAAATTACTGATTCGAATTTTTAATTAATATAAATTACTGATTAGAATTAAATAATCGTCACTAAATAATAAATTTCCAAATTAGAAATTACTCATTTAGCGATCATATTAATTTATTAATGTCTACGAGATGAAATTAAAAAACTTAGATTTTTTTTTCTTATTCTCAAAACATCTATAAAAGACTGAAAAATTCACTTTACTTGAACTTCAGAATCATAACGATTTGCCTGAATATCACTAAGCTTAGCTTCAGATATTCAAAAGTAATTAAAAAATAATTACTTTAAAGATGGAAAGAGATGTAACTACACATTTTAAACGTTTCTCTTCATTAGAATACAAGATTATGCATGAATTATTCGTGATTTCTAAAGGCATATCTTGGTGCAACATTGATTTCAATAAATCCTATGTTCATTTCTACAAAAGACGTCAACAAAAAGAGAAATTTGATCTTCTTGAACATGTCAATGAGGTTAAATTCAAGGATTACTTCATATGTAGATGTAAAAAGAATTATGAATTTCATGAGTATCTCTGGCAATACAATACTTGACATGACAACAACTATTGTTCTTTCAAGATGCGATGTAATTATTTCCAACTTCTTCAGAGCATCAACAAAGAACTTCCCATTTCTGAAAAATTGGTTCGTCTCAATTCCAAAGGATCACTGATGAAGATGAAAAGGTATTTGTCTCAATACAAACCTGATTACGAGATCTGGTTTTGGATCAAGAGTTTTAAGAATACTTGCTCCCAGGAATACAAGAATGAAGCCAAACTCTTAAATGAGTTCAAAAAATATGTAAACAGAAAGAAGAAGAAAGTCAAACCTGATAAAATTAAAAAAGATTTAGTTTCCAACATAGCTAAATTGGTCGATACACGATTGAACAGAATTGAAGAGTATAAACTTCAATCACCAGAATATCATCCTGAATCTCCTATATATATTCCTAAATCTCCATCTACTTAGTTAAAGACCGAGTAGATTTCTTTCTATGTAATTTCAATTTTTATCTTCTATTCAATCATATTAAAAATGTATCAACAAATTGAGTTCTTCTTGACAAAACTTTTTGAATTATTTTTCAAATATTTTATTGATTTCATTAAATCAAATCGACAATTAATTGAAAATGCTTCATCTTCTCATTCTTATACTTCATCAACTCAATATTCGACCACGTCTGTTCCGAATATAGCCAAACTTTTCATCGAAAAATTAAATGAACTCGATTCTGTAAAAACTTTAACCAATTATGAATACCCTCTTAATGGAGGAACATGTTGGAATTGTAAGAAGAAAGAGCATTCACATTCTTGTTGCATAGCATGCAAAGAAGAAGCTGATCGATGCAAATGTAAATTCATTTGTGGTCTCACATATCCTACCCAATTCGATAAACATGAATGACCCTGTCAATTCGTGAAATGCAGATATTACACAGACAATTTGGATGATATTATTCATTAATGCAAAGGCAAGATAATTAACAGAGAAGAAGTTATCTTATTTGTCAACGAAAAGGATACTAGACATTTCAATCTCAATAAATGAGTCGATCAAAAATATTGTGATAGATGTAATTCATACGATCATGTTTCTTCTCATTGTTCTCAAAATTATTATTATTTTTTGGATTAAATTCTTGTATATATTTATATTATATTTGCTTATTTAATAAAACATCTAATCAGTGTTTCACCAATTAGATTTTTAATTGCGCAAATGTCTTCTGAAAAACAATTGATCGAGCAGCAGCAGTTGTTCAAGCAACAATTATTTGAACAAATCAGACGATTTACAAAAGATTTTAATTAATTACAAAATACTTATTTCATATTGTTTGAAACTGATTATTTTTTGGCTCAAGAATTTGTGACAAAATACGTATTACTTTTTAGTTATTTAGGGCATTCTATTCCAAAAGATATCGAGAATGAGGATCATTTGAAGCAATTAACTAGGGTTTCTATTGAGATGAAGAATTGGATTCATCCAGTGTTTGTGACAGAAAACAGGCTCGTGAGCCCTACACTATTACAGATTCTTATTGAGAAAGATGAAGATGGAAATTAAAAGTATCTATGTTCAATATTACAATGATCTTGATGAATTAGTGAAAAAACATTTCGAATTAGATACTCTTATATATGTTGAAGCTCAAAATTTTCATAAAACGTATAAATGTTTATTCAATCAATTTTCATTATACAAGTATTATGATTTTACGAAGATCGATTCTGGAATTAAAATTGATAATTTATTTATGGTCACATATCTTGTAAATTTTAAATTTTAATAAATCATCTGCTTAGTTTAGTAAACCAAGCAGATTTTTATCTATGTAATCTTGAATATGGAAGTTATTCATTCAATTATTCATTCAGTATTTTAAAATATAAATACTAATAAACTAATTAATATTGCTATCGATGGTTATGCAGCAGCTGGAAAAACATCTGTTGGAGAAACAATTGCAAATCAATATAGTTATGAGTTTATTGATTCTGGGTTATTTTATCAATATGTTGGTTATTACCATTATGATGACCCAATTGACCAAATCAAACAAATTCTCAATGAAGAAAAAGTGTTAGAATTAATTAATTCTATCAAACATCTTGATGAAGAAGAGTACAAAGTATCAGGATTACATGCAGCAGAAGTATCAATAAACAACAAATTACACAATTTAATAAATGAAACTATCAGAAAAATTGTCAAAAATAAAGGATTTGTTGTAGTTGGATGTGATATTACAACTCTCTGTTTACCCGATGCTGAAGTAAAAATTTTATTATCAGCTGAATTAGAGACACGTGTGGCTCGTCATGCTTTTTAAACAAATTCAACAGATTTCACCAACATCTTCAATAGCATTTTAACACGAGATGCATTATCTTATTCATTGATTAAACAAGCATACAATGTTTCATATGAGATTGATACAACCAAATTAACATTATCAGAAGTTGTCGACACTATTTTGATTCAGATGTTCAAGAAGATTCTTGGCATAACTTATCAACATTACTATAAAATGATCATTATTATTTTAATTTTATTTTTATTAAATTATTTCAATTTTCAATATTTCCAATCATTTATGATTTGATTTTTTTTATTTTTAATAAATTCATCTAGTTTGTCTTTTTGACCAACTAGATTTTTATTTACATAATTATTTTTCAACGATTTAACTCGACAATGTCTCAATCCACATCTTTACCTCAACAACCAGAAATAAAGAATTGTCAAACGTATACAAAGCTAATTTGATTTTTGATAAAAATCAAGATCTTTCAAAATATGTTTTCGAAACCAGTTTGGATAAAATTTGTTCCAATGATCTGAGAGAAAAATCACTTTTCCTGATAAGACTTAAAGAATTTTATCAACTTAAATGTGATATAATGTCAGAAATTGAATTTAATTGTACTGCAGTACGTGATAGAAATGATCCAAATTTTGAAAGAGCACAAAATTGTAAAGAAAAGATTTTACGAGGCCCTAAATATAGTGCACAACAAGATCGTGACTATGTAATTGATGCATATTTCAAACATCTAGCTGAACTTGAATTAAGAGTTAAAGTAAATAGTAATTTAAAACACACTGAAGAAACTGAAAATGAAAGTGAAGAAGAAGAAGTCTCTACAAACAAGAAAAGAAAACGAGTTTTCAAGAAGAATTAATTTTTTTTTATATATTTGTTTGTTTATTTATCAAATATTATATTATTATTATCGAATAAATTGATCTATTCAGTATTTACCGAATAGATTTTTAAATAGGTAAAATGGCACCAATACGCAAATCTCTTAATTATTATACTGAGAAAGTACAATATGATCAAGTTGAAATTCGAGTTAGATAAAGTCAACGTAATTAGAATCATCCTAAACCCAATTATAATTATACAAAATGTCGCAAGCGAAAACCTAGAGTGACCAAACATTTTTGTGAGAAATGTAACTATTTTCATTTACAAAAACGATGTAATAGTTGTGAGAACAAAACAACAATCCTGGAACCAAAATTTGTCTTATATTATTGTGAAAAGTGTAATGAATTCTCTTCTGAAAAAGAATGTTTTATATGTGAAAATGAGTTAATGAAACCAGAAGATTTTGATTCTGAGACACTAACAGATTCTTCAACAAAAAGTACTTAAAGTGTTCAAACATATTACAAATCTGATGCTAAAGATTTTATCGAACGTGACAAATATAAATATATACAAAATCAGAATGGCACTGTTCTTAATAACCAACTTTATTTTAGTGACAATGAATTGATGATGGATGATTCATCAGATTCTTCTGTTCTATGTAATTTTTTTTAATTAGTTTTATTAAACCAATTAAATTTTTTTCTGCGTAAATTCAATTTCAAACTAAAAAAAAAATATCAGCTAAAGAATACCAAGAAGCAAAGGATTCATACTCTTCTGCAGAAGAGTTTAACTCGACATATTATATATGGCTTAACAATATTGAGGCTATGCATCTTACTGGGATTTCAATTTATAATAAGAATAAAATACTTACTGAAATTAAAGCTAAAATTACAGCTAATAATAATCTGATGCGTATTTACAAGGAAATTATTGATAAGCATGAGAACCAACATCTTTACTTCTCTTTATATATATTGGTTAATTCTGAAAGAAAAATCTGGATGAGTAATAGAAATAATCCTGCTAAAGATTATTATGGCTATTACCAAGTTGCTAGAGGCTTAGTTGATACTGGTGAATCATTTGACGAATATGCTAAACGCAAAGTATTAGAAGAAACCAAATTAGTTTTAGATGAAATTGAATTTATTACTTTTGATAAAAGCTTTCGTCTTTTCCCTAACAAGAATAAGGAGATCATGTACAAAACTGCGATTTACCTTGCTATAACTGATGAACAGCCTGAATTAACTGAACCTGACATAAATAGTTCTTGGGAAGCTTATACGATCAACCAATTTAGAACCATGAAAGTCACAGACTCATTACATTTTAAGGAAGCAGAAATTCTCGAAACTATATCTCACAAATTTAGAAATCGTCATGTTCCAAAGAAATGCAAAATTAATAACGAAGTTACTGAGACTTCTGAAACTAAATTAAAACACAATTCTACTACATCTTTCCCATCTTCTCAGTAGATTTTTTTTAATTCATTTTTTATTTTATTTTATCATTTTTTATTATTATTTAAATAAAACATCAACTAGTTTAATAACTAGTTGAATTTTTAGCTATGTAAGTTCGAAATAACTGACAAAGAAAAAAAGTAAGTATGGATGTTCCATCTTACTTTGTATTTGTGAATTCAAATTACGCTGTCATAGAAATATAGGAGTATATTCTGAATGCATATAATATATGATGAGGATATATTCTATTATATTTTGAGAAACTGATATCGGAATTGAAGTTATATCTTTGAGATGCTGGTACTGCAAACATTGATGAAAAGAATTCTCGTACTCATATTATTTTGTTTTATTAGATTTCAAATTACAAATCTGGTCACGAATTTGAATCTATTGTTCAAAGAATTGCCGAAGCTAATGGATTATTAGCTAATAAGATTAAAGTAACTCAAGAAGATAATGGAATCGATGTTATCGTTACATATAGAGAAAAAATTATTCTTATTTAATGCAAGAAAACTGAGACTCCTATAAATGTAGCGTTTGTAAGAATTTTTGAATCAGCAATTTCAAGATTTTCTTCAGATTCTCTCAGCATCATTGTATATAATAGTGAAAAACTAAACGAAAAATTTGCAACTCCTAAAGCTATAAACTGGACTTCTACTTCTAAGAAGAATATTAAAATTTGTAGCGAGAAAGAATTTGTAAAGATTATCAAAAACTTTTTTAATTTTGATGATGATGACCATATTGAATTAATCGATTACAAGGCAGATAGTTTTGATATAATTAAATTATTAGATGAAAATGTATCAATAGGCAAGATTGTTATTAGAAGAAATAAATATGTAAATAAATTTACCTCTTACTAGATCTGTTCAGTTTAATACTGAACAGATTTTTTTGTACGTAATTAATAAATATCTGAACAACAAATCAATGAAGCAAGAAAGATAATTGGTCTTATATACATGTTCCATGATGTATCTGACAAAAAATATTCAGAGTGTTTATCATCGTCAATACAAGTTTTAAAAGATCATTTGAAAGAAATCGAAAATATTAAGTTTGAATATTATGAATATGAATTTAAAGTTTGTAAAGACAGAATTTCTAATTATCTGGATCATAATGATGTTTGTTATAATGAGTTTGATAAATTACTCAGGAATCTAACAATTTTTATTAAAGAAGAATATTATTATGAAGATTCTTTAATGATTGATTCTTATTCCATATATTTAAATAATAATGAGAAAGACAAAATATCACAGAATCGATTTGTAGAGAAACAAATTGATTATGATATGAAATCAATAACTCAGATGCATAAAGATTTACAGAAAGAAATAACCAAAGAATATTCAATTCTATCACAAAAAGATTTTATGAAATGGACAGAACAAGAATCTGAACAGGCAACTCTTTATCATTTAGTTCTTGAAGAGTTGAAAAAAGCAATTAAAAGTTGTGAATATAATGAAAAATTATGCAATCGTTTTTGTAAAACGAATGTTAACATTATATTAATATCATCTCAAACATCGTATATTAAATTTCTAAAGAATTTTTCAAATATAAAGAATCCAAACATTGAAGACAATTCAAGATTAATATATACAGACTATTTTTCACAAAAGTTTGATTATGTTTATACATTTGAAAGTTTTATATATCTTCATTGTTATGATGGATAAAAAAATAAAACAAATCTATTCAGTCGTATGACCGAATAGATTTTTTTATATGTAATCCAAAATGTCAACTCAAGAAACAATTAAACAAGAAAAAATCAAAGAGTCTGCAAGACTTTCTGGTCTCTTAGCAATGTTCTCAATTTATATTGATGTGCTTAATGATAATAACGGTTGTCATTCTTCTGGTTTTTTATCTGATGCTTTGGAACTTCATATTAAAGATTTGGAAAAGGACAGTTTCAAATATTACAAATCTGAATTTGAAGCTAGCAAGATCGAAATTGAAAAAGTTTTGTATCAGTCACAAAATGCTGAATATAAAGAATTGAAACAAGAACACCAAAGATATACTTATTTTTCAAAAATTTACAATGATTTAGCTAACAAAATCATTCGTCCAACTCAAAAAGTTTTATTTATATATGTTGGTTAGGTTCATTTAAAATTATTTTAAAATAAATTATAACATCTATTTAGTTGTATGACCGAATAGATTTTTTTATGTGTAAACATGTTCGAATCAATTCTATTTTTCTTGATTCTGTTTCTATGGTTTCTATTGTTGATATTTATGATTTATCATATTTACACTTATTTAATACTCAAAGACAGAAAGATAATTGTATTTACAGGAACTATCGGTGCCGGAAAGACTACATGCGCTAAACTATTTGAGTAATATTTGAAACAAAAAGGATTCTCAGTTTATCAATATAATGAAGCATCTCTCGATCTTGAAGAGGAACTCAGACTTTTTTATAGAAACAAAACACGACTTTTTCTTTTTTTTCAAGTTATAATAATGTATCTTTATAAAGAAAGATCAATATATGTCAAAAGTTTGAACTTCGATTACATTATAGAAGATCATACTCATAAGGATGTAAAAGTATTTAATAAATTTCTTAAAGATGATCTTGAAAGAGAATATGTTAACAAGAAAGTCGATGAGATTGAAACTACTGAATTCTACAAAGTTGTTTTCGTGAATCCTTCAGTTGATATTACAATTAAATGAAAAAAAAAAAGAAATTGAAAAGGTAAAAATGCTGAAGTTCAATATCTAAGAGAACTTTATAATCATTACCAAGAGGAAATTAACATGATATATCCTACACATGTAATTTTTGAGAATGATATTACACTGTGTAAACACTGTATTCGATACGATTCTTCAAATTGTAAGAAGAATTGTGATATTAGTTCATATGAGATCTTTTTCAACCAATTATTATGATATTTGTTGCAAATAATACTGTTTAAGTTATTTTATTGTATTTTTTTTATCTGTTCTATCCAGTTAATATGACAAGATAGATTTTTTTATATGTAAACATGATTGATCTCATTGATGAATTATATACAGTATGTTGTAATGAATCAAGTGATGTTGAACAATTTCTAAAAAAATATGACCTAAAAAACATCATCGAGTACTGTCTTCTAAATCAAACAAGTTCGAAAACTTTATATATCCTTGCGACATTATTCTGGATTAAAAACAATGTCAATAAAGCATTCGAATATTATCTGAGATCTGCAAACCAGAATAATGCTGAAGTGATGTTTTATGTTGCTCATTGCTACCAATGGGGTATAGGTGTAAAGAAAAACATGCTTACTGCATTGATTTATTTTAAAGAATCTGCAGATTTAGAACATCCTAAAGGTGCATTTGTTACTGGTGATATTTACTTCTATGAGTATGGGGTTGATAGGGATGTTAACAAAGCATTTGAGTATTATAAGAAATCTGCAGATCTAGGATATGTTCAAGGAATGTTAAAATTAGTTTTTTTTATTTCTATGAAGAAGATGAAGTGGTTGATGTAGATAAAGCCAAAGCATTTTCTTATTACAAAAAATCTGCTGATTCAGGATATGTTCCAGAAATCTGAGCAGTTTCTAAATGTTATCTTCATGGCGATAATGTTAAGCAAGATTAAAAGAAAGCTTATAATTTGTTAAAAATAATTGATGAGAGAGTTTTAATTAATTACTATTTAGTCCACATAATCAGATAGATTTTTTCATATGTAATCTCAAGATGAGTACTTTAATTTCATCCAATTACAACATTTATGATGATGGGAAAATCGAATATAAACATTGTTCGGATGTTTACAATAAATTATTGATATACACAATGAAAGCTCATCTCCAAACAAATCATCAAGAAATTTATACTCGACAATTAACAAATTCAGTCTTAAATGAACAAACTTCAACCAAAGAAGTCTTAATCGATGTTATAGATCTTTCAAAATTAGGAATCACAACTATCCAAACTGATGATGATAGTGAATTCAATATCAAGAATCTAGTTATTAAAGGAGCATTTAGCATTTATTTTACCAAAATTGATTAACTTATTAAATAAAATTATATATCTATCTAGTTATGTTGTGACCAGATAGATTTTTTGACATGTAATTCAAGATGGGTTTTTTTGATAATTTATCTGAATCTGACTTTGTAAAATTACGTGAATATATTAATGAAGTTCACATATATAACAATGAGATAAGAAAACAACAAGAAGAAACTAAAGAAAAACTATTATATTGTCGTTTAAAATTAATAAACTCAGTTGAATCAAATAGATTCTATGTATATGATTCTATCGATTCTGCATCATTTAACAAAAGATACATACTAACTTTACTTACAGTTCGATTAGATGAAACAAAATTCACGTTCAACATTTCTATTGATTCTGTTTTCTTTGACATCAAACTTTATTCTAATGAAGATGCATTCAACCACATTATGGAATTTAATCCTGACAGTTATGAAATGATGATCAGACAACCATTTGATTCTACAGAAAAACATAATTTTCTATGATTACATTTCACTAATCAAAAGAAACATAAAGAAGCATTAAACAAGATTATTACAAAATGAGATAAGCTCATTCTTAAGTTAAAAAACAATATATCATACAATTTTTCAAGTATAGAAGAATTTGATCATTATTATGACACATATTTAGATAACGAAACATGTTATTATAGAAAAGTTGCTAGCGAGAATGATTTTGAGTTAGTAGGATGATATGAGATTAATGTTGCAAATATTCACAATAACATGTTAATCACATTTGATGATATCAAGAAGATAGATTTCTATGAGATTTCTAGTTTATTATTATTATATTGGGATATTGAAAAATCATCTTCCCAAGGCCCAGGATTTTTCCTTTTAGCCGAAAATGATAAGGATTATGTTTACATAATCCAATTTGATATTGTTTTTTACAATGAATCATTTCCGATTCGCAGATTTTGTTTAACAACTATACCTATCAACAGTGAATTATTCAGTTTGAAATATCCTGAAACATCGATCATATTTATTGAGTTGCAAACACAAGAAGAACTTTTATTAAAATTTGCAGAATTATTTGGTAATTTCCAACCCGATTTTGAGATTGGTTACAATACAGACCAATTCAATTGAAATTTCATTCTCAAAAAAGCTAAACTATTAAATATTGATGAACAATTTACTGGACTCTTAACTAAGACAAAAACTGATCTCCAGTTCAATATACATCAAGTAACTGTACGAGTTGTTGATCATAATATTGAAAAAGAGGATCAAAAATATGGATATGCAGGCATTAACATGAACAATCGAAGTATAAAAATATCATCAACTGAAAATATGCAATGTGAATTCATGCGAGCACCAGGAACAGTGTTTCTTGATTTTCTTGTTTGGGCCAAAAAAACATTCCAAACTGAGATTACCAACATTTTGGATGCAGTATTAAAATATTGTGGCCTTTCTGGAAAAATTGATCTTCCATATATTCCTATCAAAAACAGTGTTGATATGCGATGCATGTTTGTTTATGTAAATGTGATAAAGTTTAAAAACAACAAACAAATATTAAACAAATTATCTGAACAATTGTCAAAAATGATTAACATTTCTGTTCCGATTTGTTTAAGTGCATTTCATGTTTCTGAATCAGTTTTAGAGGATTATGCGATCGAGTTAGCATACTATTGTTCTGTTGATACTCTATGATTACATGAATTAAACATTAAAAGAAACATAATTGGAGATTATATTCAATGAGCAAGCATAGCATGTATAACTATATCAAATGTTTTCACTAATAGGATTGGATGTTTAGTATGGAATTTAATTTGTAGATATGCATCTCGAGAAAATATTTTGGTATCATCACGTCACAAAGGAACTGTTCAGCAAGGAAAATATGAAGGAGCTTTAGTAATTCCTCCTGTCAAAAATAATAAACGTCCTACTGCAGATGTAGATTTCACATCTTATTATCCAAATTCTATTATTCAGAACAATATATCTTTAAAAACACATGTGTCAAAAGAATCAACAGATTCTTCTTTAAATGTTGTAATTGATAATGATACCATATATGGCAAATTTCTTCCTCACAACGGTGATGTAAACAAGATAGAAATCATGCCTCATATGTGTAAGGAACTATTAGAAAAAGAGGAGAAGTGAAAGCGAACATCAAGACATACCAATCAGATCTTACAAAACATCGTTATTACACATCATTATCAGATGCATTAAAAGTATTTGCAAATTCAGTCTATGGTGAAACAGGATACAGATATTCATCATTGTATCATGAAGAAGTTGCATCATCAGTTACAGCATTTTGTCGAGCAATATTACAAGTAATAATAAATTTTGTACGAGAGCAAGGTTTCATAGTTATATATAGAGACACAGATTCGATATTTTATTCATTACCAGAATCTTATTTTATTGAATTAGATTTGAAATATTCTAATAGACTGTTAACCAAAAAAGAATATTGGGAAGAACAAATTAAATTAACAATACAACATTTCCAAAAATTAGAAAAAAATATTAATGATTTTTTACAACAAATAATGAAATCCTCGTATCTCAAAATGGCATACGAGAAAACATTGTTCCCTTTTCTGATTTTTGAGAAAAAACATTATATTGGAATCAAACATTTTTACAAACCAGATCTTGACAATTTAAAATTATTGTTAAAAGGTTTAAAAATAGTTAAACGCAATGTATCTGAATTTTACAAGATCATTGCTAAAGAATTAATATATTCATTACTCGGCTTTAACAAAGATTTTTCAATTCATTTAGAAGAAATAGATCGAAAGGAACTAGTCTTACAAATAATCACAGAATATGTAAACAAAAAAGAAACGATGCTTGATTTATTTGTACTCATTGCAAAATATGATCTGACATATGCAGCAGTTTCAGCAAAAGATTTTGCTAAAACTCTTGATCATCATCTTTATTCTAATGAAGAACGTGCTTCTATACTTGCACAAGTTTTTCTATCAGCAACAAAGAAAGGAAACAAGATAGTATTTAATTTTATATTCAAATTGGAAGAACCGATTGAATCAGGTCATTTTTTCTATTACATTGTAACAAAACCAGGCAAATCTAGCATTTCAGACAAAATGATCTTAATCAAAAAGTTTGATCCTAAAAGGAACACAATTGATATTATACATTATTTTTACAGTTTACGAGACATAGTTGCATATCTCTTAGGATGTAAAGAAAAACAAGCTTTACAAAAAATCAAGGAAATATTTGATGCTGACGAATTGAGAAAACAACAAAAGATAACAGAATTTTTTGTTAATGACACTCAACAAAAGATAACTGAATTTGCTAAAGTTACACCTATCTAAAACAAAAGAAAACCTGAATCAGAGAAGCCTGAACCATCAAAGAAACAGAAAACTCAATCAAAGTTAATTAATTATTATCCTTCTAATATATCAGAAAAACACAAATTATTAAATGAAGACACTGAATCTAACAAACGAAAATGTATATAAGAGGTGAGAAATTTACTTCCTCTTTGTCTTACTTGACAAAATGCAATACCAACTATTCGATTCTAATCCAATCAAAATTTTAGATTATGTTGAGATAACAAAACTCTACTCAAAGGAACAGAGATCTACACCTATAATAAATTATCTGACAAAAAACAATTTTGATATAAAAAAATTCCACTAATTCTTATTGATGATAGAAAAAAGAGACCAATTAAAACATTTATCTGAAATTTACAATTTAACTATTAATACGATCTCTGAATTAGAGATGATAATTTTAACAGAATCCATTATATACAACAAGATAATCTTTACAAAAGAGCATGTATTCTACTGTAAATATATTTATTTATCATCTGTTCAGTACGATGTACTAGACAGAAATTTATTTATACAATTACAGAAATGCCACGTCAAGCTAAAACTGTGAAAAAGAAACCTAGTCCATACCACATCAAAAAACATTTAACCAAAAACAAACCAGCTTTGATTGATGACATATACTATATGATATTTTTATTTCTATTACCATCAGACATCACAAAATCTCATAAATTCACATTAAAAGATCGAAGAATCCTTGAATATCGAAAACTGAAGCTTGTATGTAAAAGATTTCATGAGATCTATTACTACTATTTTACTTGATACGGAACAAAATATTACTTGATCCAAAAATACAATTTGGTTCATCAGCCTCCTGTAAGATACAAATGGAACATTCATTACTGTCCCAAAACTACTTTGATCGATATCGAGAAAGATTCAACTTCATATACGCACAAACTTCGAATAAGCAAAGATGAATTATATTGTGAACTGAACAAAAGGAATACAAACTGTAAAAAAACCTTGTTGTTCCTAGAATCGACAAAACTTGGCACATATGGTAAAACCAAATGTCAGAATTGCAATTCTTATATGTATTGTGCCATATATTCTTATGATTTTCCAATGTCTTGTAATTCAAAATGTAAAGATGTTTTAAACAAGAAAATCAAGCCTATTGTTGTTGGAATTCATTATATAACATATTTCATAAAAATCTGCAATACTTGTTAAGAGTATTTTAATGATCTTTATTGTAAGGGTGATAGGTTTTTAGAAACAACTAATGATTTTACATTATTAAATTACTGGAATAGAGTTAGACGTTTTGTTTAATATTTATTATCATTAATAAAATATCTGTTCAGTTTATTACTGAACAGAAATTTATTCTTGTAATTTATAATGAAATGCCAGCCTAAATCATTCAGTGTTTTTATAGGAAAGAAATACAAATTATTAAATTATACTTCTTAAAGCATTAATAAGAAAAGATCTCATACAAAAAAACAAAAAATCAATTGTCATTTCAGAACCAAAGATAACAAATGCTTTATTTCTTTACCATATAATATACTTTATAAGATGTTTTTTTTCTTGACTCTAGCTTCTAAATTCAAGTTAGATGATTGAAGATTTGGTGATTTTAGAAAATTAAAATTAGTATGTCGAACATTTTATCATTTTTATTATCACTATTTTGACAGACTTGCTATGAAATACTATTTGATTTCAAAATACGATTGGACTCATGATCCTCCAACACGATACAAATAGAACATTCATTACTGTCCCAAAACTACTTGGATCGATATCGAGAAAGAGGATGGTTCACATAAAAGGCATAAATTGAAAACTGAGAAACAATTACATGTTGATATAGATTATCTGAAGAATCTTAAAAAAACTTTAATCTTTATGGATATTGAAATATTCCTAACTTATGGAAAAAGCAAATGCCAGAATTGTAATTCATTTACATACTGTAAAACTCAAGTATACTCATTTTTCAATGATACGGAATCAGAATGTAGGAGAGCTCTAACAAAAATAGTTGGCTCAACATATTTAGATTTTTATTTTAAGTATAGCATAAAAGTGTGCAAACTTTGTTCTAATTATTTCTCAACACTTTACAAATGCCAAAACTATAACACACTTCTAGATAGCACATATGCATCATCTTCTTCATATATTACTTCTTTGAGAAATTGGTTATATTATTCTTAATTAATTAGTTTTAAAAAAATCATCTACTCAGTTTTAACTGAGTAGATTTTTATTTATATAATAATGCATATCAACGATTTTCTACTTGAACTGTTGGCTATGATCATTCAGTTTTGTTTCACTTCAGAAAAAATTGCTATTACAGATGCTCTAGTTGCAAACAATATCAAAAAAGTATGCCATTATTGGAACAAAATTTATCATTCTTTGTTTAAACTTTATGGAACAAAGTACATACTAATTGAACCATTTAAAAATTATGAGTTTAAACCTTACATATTTGTTCCTTTCACAATCTCGATTGTCCATAACAATATTATGATAAATTATTTGAGAAAAGAAACAAAACTCAATTTACTTCACTTTAAAGAATCTGATAATTACTATGCTCTTGTAACCAAAGAGAAATTTGACAACTTAAAATCGATTTGTGATGATTGTGAGACATCTATTTTTTGTTTCTCTTATTTTATTTTTAATTTTAAATGTTTGATAGAAGAATGTTATTATTCTGAAATAATCGGTCCTCATGAGCATTTTTTTTGTTTCAAATGTCGACAGAAGTTTGCTAAAAAGAAAGAGTCAATTATGCATCAACAATTAACTTCATTCTTTGAAAATTTTTTTGTAAACAATTGAAGATTTCTTTATGTAATGTCACTACCAAAAAGTTATATAAACCTAGTTTATTTCCTTCCTCTTCTTTAAAATGTCTTTCGAAATTGAAATTGGTCAAAACCTATCTTTCTGCTTGATCGAATTGTCCAAAGCCTTTACAACTATTTCTGTAATTCTTTGTTTAACAGCATTTCTATTATGTTCATATCTGTTCAATAAACAATCTAATCAGTCCTCCAATACTGATTAGATTCTTCTTCACATAAATCTAGTTAAAAATAAAGAGGTGAGAGAGATTCACAACCTGTTATAATCTTTACTTTGTATAATAACTTTTACTAACTCTCATTTCTGCTAACTCGGCGACTTCATGCATTGGTTGTTTGTCGACTGGTATTCATAATTGTGATTCATTTACTTGAATTATTTATGCTATAAATCCAGATGCCTAAAATTTCTTCATTAAAATATTATGCAGTTGCTAAAGGAGAAAAAACAGAAATTTTTACATCATGGAAAGAATGTAAAGAATATGTAAATGGTTACCCTGAAGCTTTGTATAAATCATTTTTTACAAAGATCAAGGCTTAGAATTTTATCGATCAACAAAATATTGAAGACATTAAAGATAAACTAAATGTTTGGACAGATGGTTATTGTAAAAGAAATGGATTATCAGATGCTATTGGAGGCATTGGAGTATTTTTTGGAGACAAAGATTTCAGAAATTTATCTGAACGTTTACCTGGTGAACAACAAACTAACAATTATGCAGAGATTTATGCTGCAATTAGAGCTCTTGAAATATGTGACAAAAATGAAAATTTAATCATTAATACAGATAGTATTTATGTTATTAATTCTCATAATATTAAAAAACCTAAAAAAATTTTTGATTTAGTTAACAAATTTAATGATTTGATTAAGAAACGTAAAGGAAAAACTTATTTAAAGCATGTAAAAGGACATAGTAATATTTATGAGAATGAACAAACAGACAGACTCACATATTTAGGTTCAAAAAATCCAGATGTTGAATTGATTTTACCTGAACGCAAAAATACTATCAAAGATTATTTCAAATAATTATTGTAGTTTTTTATTATTATTTTATAAATAAATATTATATTTTTAAGAATCGAAATGTCAATTCGTATTGGCGAATGGGAGGAATTTGAATACAACGTATGAAAATGGGTGAGAGACCCAATCATAAATTTATATCAAATGACGATTCGCTTACCAAATTAAAAAACAACCAACGCATAAGCAATTGCGAGGCCAGCGGTATGCCAAAAAAAAAAAAAAAAAAAAACTAATCAGTTTATAAAACTGATTAGATTTTTCTTTGAGTATTATTTGATAATGTTTCAATCTTCAAGTAATTCAGATCAAGATTCAAACTTCAAAACTGAAGTTTGTTCAATTAAAAAAACTAATCTTACATGGTTCAGAGAAAATAAAAACACCAATTATCAAAAACCAATTATATATCCTGACGATGATAGATACATAACTGAATATACTCAAATCAAGTTAAGTGATAAACAAAATGCTCTTCTTGATAGACAACATTGAGAATTTTTGAAGCAACATAAATTTGTTCTTGATAAGGATAATAATATTATCAAAGAAAATAGTAAAGAATATCTTCTTGAACTACTTTATCCTGAAGCAAAATTAGCAAACATCAAATTTAAAAATGGTTATCTATTTGATTTACGTAGTTGTAATATCGAAATTATTTAATTTGTTTATTGAATAAATTTATTATCTAATCAGTTATAAGACCAATTAGATTTTTTGTCGTGTAAATTTAAAATATGTGACAAAAATACAAAACAACTTGTTGCAAAATCTTTGACGTTACAAACTCCAGAAAAATTTTTTACTGTGTATTGTAATTTTGAGTATGATTTTTATATTGATGAAAAAGAGATCATTCATGTGGTTAAAAAGAATGATTATTAAGTTTTAGCCATTTTTTTGAAATGTGTATTGAAAAAATATTTGATAAACAATGAAAAGAAGCATAGATTCAACACATGTCCTTGTTGTAGAAAATTCAAATTCTGTTTTATCGAAAGAATGAAATCTTTTGGACATGGAAATGGATATGAACAAGAATTATATCAAGAAACAATTAATCCATGTGATGTTTACAATTCATCATATACTAATCATGTAGGTGATAGGAAATTCAAGATGAGGTTTTTCGATCATGGAGATTTAGCACAATTTTTCAACAAATACAGTATTAGTCATAAATTTGAAATCTATTTTTGCAAACATAAAAATTACACTGTTTATTACAAGAATAGCAATAAGGTAGTAAAAGTTTATAAAGAAGAAGATGTATTTTATTATATTAATTATTTTTTAAGACGCAAATTTGATATCAATCAATGTTCTGATTGTGACAGAATCACTTTTAATTATAATGGCAGAATCAGTTGTTATTGTAAAATCAAAATGTGTAAATGTACATTTAATCAGTTCTCCAAGACTGATTAGATTTTTTATTATATGAAAATGTCATTATCAAAAGAAGTTATCCTTATGATACTTGAAAGATATGATTATACATCTTTTAATGATGTTAAATCTTTATATTTTGTCAATAAGATGTTTAATGAATTTATCAAAAGTATTTTATTAAACATTTTTGCAGAGAAAATCAATAACAAAACTCAACTACAAATTAATAATTTTATTAAAGATTGTGAGGTTGATGAATTCAATAGATATTATATAATATTTAAAAAATGGATTATTAGAAAAAAACTTGAACAAAATTTAAATAATTACTATAAAAATTCAATTCATATTGTTTTGAAGATATTGGTTCCTAAACCTGTTTTTAATTTTATGACAAGAACATATATTTATTATTTTAATTATTCAAATCAGTTTATACGTAATTTAAATACAAATGTTAGTTATATGATTGAAAATAATTTAAATTTTAAGTCTAATTTGGTAGAAATTAGAGATGAATTATATAAATATGGCACTTTAGATACTGGAATAGTACTTATTTTAACAGAAGAATGTTTTAAAATTAATTCTGATAATTTAATTGAATTCACCAGTTCAGAATAACAAAATCATTCGAAAATTCTCTTGTAGTTTTAATTCAATTCTAAAGAATTAGTTGAATCCATGATACAAATAATGGATCGTGATAATGGAGTTCAATATGAAATTTGTTTCAATTCATTTTTTAAATTTTATATGATATCTATCGAATTTATCAGTTCAGAATAACAAAATCATTCAAAAATTCTCTTGTAGTTTTAATTCAATTCTAAAGAATTAGTTGGATCTATGATACAAATAATAGATCATGATAATGGAGTTCAATATAAAATTTGTTTTAATTCATTTTTTAAATTTTATATGATATCTATTGAATTTATCAGTTCAGAATAACAAAATCATTCAAAAATTCTCTTGTAGTTTTAATTCAATTCTAAAGAATTAGTTGGATCTATGATACAAATAATGGATCGTGATAATGGAGTTCAATATAAAATCATTCAATTTTTTTGTTTCAATTCATTTGTTAAATTTTATTAAATAAATATATCAATAAATTAAATAATTATACATTGTAAATTTATACTGAAAAAATGATTTGCTATGAAAAGAAAAATATAAATTGTTATAAGAGTTTTGATTACATGCCTAAACAGATGTTGAAATTTTGATAAAAAACTAGATAGTAAAACTAAAAAGAATTTTAAAGAGTCCTGTTTTAATGTTTCATTGAGTTCATCAATTTTATTTTTTAGTGATTCAATATTTTCATTTTGATTTTGTTCAAGTTCACTGATTCTTTTTAAAAGTTCTTCAATTTCTTTATCTTTTTCATTTAATTTATGTTGAATTTCTGTAACTGCAAAAGATGTTGATGTACTTATGATTTAAACCTCTTCAAGTTCATCAAAGATGTTTCCTATTTTTTCATCCAATCTCAGATCTTTATCTCATTTAATTGGAATTTTAAATACGATATCGAGAAAATGTTGTTTAGTTATAGTTCGAGCATTCACAAAGAAATTATTTGTTTGTTCAGTTTTTATATCTTATTTGTTAAATATTGATGGATCTGGATATTTAATAATATTGTTTAACAATAAGCTTCTTAATATACTAATTTCTTTGTCTGTAGAAGAAATGAGGGCTTTATATAATTTTAAGATTTCATTAACACATATAGTCATATCAGTACTTTGATAACCTTCTTTGAAATAGATTGGATGTGTTTTAGAAATTATCATGTTAACATCTTCTTTAATATCCTTCAGTTTTCTTCATTTTTTATTTTCTGGCAATTCCGAATTATCTTTTCCTGTGATTTTATCAATTTTATTCAAGTATGTTTGATCTTTCACATATGGCCTAATTTTCGTGAAAAAGGTTCTCTTATTATCGTTTGGATCAACCATTTTACTGTAATCTATAATATCATCTTCTTTATCAAATATATCTTTTATTGTTTTATAAAGATGATGTCTTTTGATTATGTTTTTAACAAATTCATCTACTTCTTCAATTTCACAGATTGAATGAAATTGTTTATTGTTTTTGTCTATAAAGTAATATTGTGGTTCACTATCTTGATAGATTTCTGCAGTTTTTTTACGAAGGTTCTGAAGAATATTTCTTCCTTTTAAATTATTTAATTTATTTATTTCATTGTCAAAATAATCACCATCAAATAAAGTTTCTGTATAATCATCATGAAGAAATTTTTGTATATATCCTAGAAGTAGTTCACGAATCAAGCATAATACTTTGTTTTTATATTTTGTTTTTTCATCAAATAATGATTCAAAAGCATCATTTAGATTATCTATTTTTTTTTGATTTGTTAGAATATATCTTTTTTCTGATGATAATTGTTTTTTCAACTCTTGCATTTTTTCCTTTGTGCGTGGAGATTCTAAGAAATCCTGTTCCAAAGTTTGAATTAATAAATCATATTTTTTTCCATCTTCAAATGATTGTTTATCATTATCTTCTTTCATTTCTTTTTCAATAATATCATATAACAGGGTGTTAAATCTTGTTTTTCGCAAGATAATTATGTTGTCTTTATTAAGATCATCATTCAACAATGTTTGATTAAGATTGTTGATACTAGTTGCAAGTCTACTCTTATTAGATAATTGTTGTACTTCTTGATTATGGTAAAAGGATTCAATTTGTCTTTCATATCTTCGATATTTGTTTATTTCAATTTCTTTTAATATTAATTGTAATCTTCCTCATCTTTTTTGTTGCAATATATCAACATTTCTATTATTACTCAGATTTTCATTTTTCAATTCTCTGATTTTATTATCTATAATTCGTCCATCATTTAACAGAGTTGCATCATCAGTTTCAGGAATTTCTTTATCAATATTATCATATTATTCATTTGACAGAGTTTTCAATTGTTTATCACGTTGTATGTTTAAAGTAACTCTTTGTTGTTCAGTTAAATTTTTGCTATTTTGTATTTCCCTAAACCAAAACCTATTAATTTCTAAAGATGGTATTTTTGTTTCTTTTCGTATTCCATCTTTGATTCGATTGAAATCATTTGAACCAGGTTAAGATTGTTCCAATTCTCTAATATGATCTTCTCTAAGGTCATGAAGTTTTTGTTTATCTTCTTCTGTAAAGATAGATTTATCAATTTCTTTTATCCAAAAATCTTTTAATTGTCCTAAATCTTTTTTATTTTGAATTTCTTGTAAAAATCTATTAAATTCTTTGATGTAATTTTCTAAAAATTCTAATCTTTTTTTTTTTAATTCTTGAAGTTCATCTTTTAATTTTTGTATTAAATTTTGACTACTGGTTATTTGTAAATATCAGAATTGAAAATCTCGTAACTGATCTACTTCAGTTTCTTCCTTAATTCCTTCTTTGATTTTATTGTATCTTAAGATCATTCTTTCCTGATTGATTCGTATTGTTTGCAATTCATTTTTTTGTTTTTCATCAAGATTAGAACTTTGAATCTCTTTATCCAAATTTCTATTTTCTTTCAATTCTTCGAGTTCATATGTGTCTTGAATCTTTTTTTTAAGTCTGTTAAATGCATTATCACTTTTTTGATGTTGTATAACTGCTAGTCCTAAAATAAAAAGTTCTAACAATTCATCTTCTTTAGTTGGTTTGTACGGTTTAACAACAGGTTGTTTTTTATAATTACAAATTTTAAAATTATTATTTATTCTACACTTTATATTCATTTTTTTTTATAAAACAAAAATAGCGAAATTTATTTATTTATATATTTTTTGAAAAATAATTACAATTCAAAGAAAGTTAAAAATATGTTTTGAATAAATAATAAAGAAAATTAATATTGTCTGTAATTCCTATATTGAATTTTTCAAAATCTATATCAAATTGATCGATAAATTGTTCATCATATATGAGTGTTCTTTCATAATATTTAAATTTATCAGTTGCAGAAATGAATGTATTGATAATAGACTCATTTATCATGCTAATGAATCCAAAGAGTTCCTTCTTATTATAATTAATAACTACAATTGTCTGGTTATTCATATTGTTATGATACATTTTAGTACAGATAAGAAGTAACAAAAAAATTTCAGGATTCATTTTGTTTTTACAAAAGATTTACGATCTTGGTCTTTTTATATTAGCTCCTTTAGGTTTATGTACTGGTTGATATATAGCCTTTGCACTACCTTTAGGAAATGATTGAAGGTACAGACCACCTGGGTAACTTTTACACATTTTACTATTTTTATTCAATACTCGCATATATCTTCCTTTTTTAAAATCCCATGTATATAATTGAGGCAATGAAAAATCATCCACAAATATTAAGACTTGATTTCTTAGTACTGAGACTTGACTGCTTGGTACACTTTTAGCTTTAGAACATGTGCAAGCAACAGCATTAATAACGAGTAACAGAATAACAAGATTTTTAAGAAATTTCATTTTTTAAAAAAAAATATCAAATGATTTGTTTATTTATATAATTTTATTCTTAATACAAATAATAAACTAGGTTAATCAATTTTCTTTCTCTTTATTTGCATCTCCCATTTTTTCATCTTCATTTTTTTTACAACATTTTTCTACGAGTTCCATAAAGCTAGCTATTGGATTACTAGAATCAAAGTCAGGTTTCCAAGTCGTTTTCATTCTAAAAGATGTAACAAATAATGGTATACCACTATCACTTCGCACTTTACTAAAATTTTCTCCTAATTTTATAGCATTAGCATCACCTCTTGCTCTTTTAAATTTATACATTTGATCAAAATAGTCAACAATTATAATTAGTGCAAGATTTCCTTTGTTAAAAGTTGTGGCAGCATTTCTATCATCATTTTCAAATTTACAGACTTTCATTTTATTAAAATCTACACAAAATTCTATAATATGAGTTTGAAATTTGCAACCATGACATGAGATATCCTCTTTATATTCTAGAATAGGATTAATATATTCATGAAATTGAACATTATGCATATCTCGATCTAAAAGTATATCTCCTATTCCAGGATTTCTTTGTTCTGCTGTTGGATGATCACAAATTTCAATCACGTAAAATTTTAATTTTAAAAGTTCTGATATAACGGGTGTAATCCTTGCTATGTTGCCTTGGTCTTGTGGTAAATCAAAAGTATCTTTTATGCCTTGACGATGATATAATACTATTTCAAGTTTTATCGCAATATCATGTAATTCTATTTTATTTTGATTAAAATTTATATCTTGAAATAAGCGAACATATTCATATCTATCTTCCATTGGACCAAAAAACATTCTCCTATTAGCATTTGAGTTTGGTGATTCTATTACTTCAGTTGTTGCATCAGGATCTCATTTTCCAATATATGAATTTAACTTTAGTTGATTAATACAAGAAGCAATAGTGTAAGCTGTGGAAATTTTTTCAAAATTCATTTTTTTTTTTTATTTAATAAAAAAACTTCAAAACATGTATTTATATATATTTCAGAAATAATATTAAGATAAAAAATAAAAGTATGAATAAAATCTATTCTTGTTTATTGCAACAGTCTCTAACCTGAGCCATTATTCGATTAAAATCTGAACCTTTGATATGAGAGGACCATGCCATTTCAATGTAACCATGTCCTATATATGAAGAAATACTACAATGCCCTTGAGCAAAATCAAAATCTACTCCCATTTGATATGATAAAACTTTGTCATTAAGTGTTTTTTTTTAAAAATTATACATGAAATTCACATAGTCAACAAACATTACAAATAAATAGTTTCCTTTATCAAAGATAGCTGCTTCAGTATTACTCATTCTGTTAGAAAGACATACTTCTAATTTACTAAGATCGAGACACATAATTATTTTATCTTGTGTAAAAGTACATAGACTGCAATCGATTTTTATTTCATCTTTAATTATAGATTTAACTTTATTTTTGTTAAATTGAATATTTTGAAAATCTTGATCCAACAAAATATCACTAGCTAATATATCTGTATCCTTTTTCTTTGCCAGATCATGATCATTACAAAGTCCAAAATAAAACTTTTAATTTTCATTTTGGAAATCAGAGAAGTAAGTGTCGTATTCCCTCTTACAGTAGGAATTTCTATCGTTTGAGTATGATCATCATGATGATATGTCCAAATATCTAAATATATTGAGATGTCATGTAATTTAAATTGTGTAAAAAGACCAAAATCTTTTTGAAAAAGTCTAACTGCAAAGAATCTTTTGAATATAGTATCAAAATAAAATGTTCGGCCTTCATGTGTAACAGCACCATATTCCTCTTTTATAACTTGTGCTCCAGGAGGTCTTTTTGCTTCACATATATTTAGTTTTTCTTCATCTCCACAAAATCCAAGTGAACAAGCAGTATTTTTTGACACTTTTTTTTTTATTGGTGGTGGTTTTTTCTTAGACACTTTACTTTTTTTTGCAAGAGGCATTCTTACAGCCGCACGAAGTACACTTTTGCATTTTCAGAATACTTGTTTTAATTACACTTTTTTGGGTTTTCTTTTTGATCGGTGTAATCTTTTTTTTTGAAGTAGGTTTTCTTTTTGTAATAGTTTTTCTTGTGTTTTTATTGGATGCCATTTTGCCTGAATGAATCTATGTAAAGAATAATGTTATTGAATATTTCTCACACCAAAATGTTTGAATGGGACAGGATATGTGATATGAATTTAAAATCTATCTCAAAGAATTTAATGTGTAGAATGAAAATTGTATAGATAATAGCAACTAAAAGAAGTATATATAAATAGGAAGTTATAATATCAATTTTTAATTTGGATTTGTTATATTGTTCACACAAATCAGAAAAATCTGCTATTTAATTTTTTTAAAAAATTAAGAGAACTCAGATATTTATATAGTTTCTGAAAACCCCAATCCATTCTTTGGATTTTTAGGACTTGTTTTCCACATCTTTGTGATAGCTTTCATTGTTTCGATACTATTTTCATGTTGGGATGCTACCTCATCATAATTATCTTTCATAAATTGTTGATACTTGGTTGGTTTTTTTTCTTTTATTTCCTCTTCATCTTTATCTTTTTTTTTTTTACGTTTTTTTAATTTCGAATCATCAGTGCTGTAAACAATATCTGCAAGTCTTTCTATATTATTAAGATTAGTTATTGCATAATCGGGATCATGTCCTAATATCTTTTCAATTAATTCTTGTTTGCTTCCTGATTTTTTCACAAATTGTTTAAGTTTATTATTTAAAACTTTACCTATTTTTATATACTAGAAAAATATAAAAAGAAGTGTATATTTATACGATTTCTTAATATGGATGAAGTAAATGAGTTATTTGTAAAAGTTGATGAAATTATTCAACTCATGATGGATGATAAAGTAGATTATTTTGAATCTTTAAACCGATTGAAAGAGGAATGAATTAAAATTTTCCAATTAGTCGAAGAGATTCTTGAAGACAAACAAAAGGATATTAATGCATTAATCTTAGTAAACAATGTTTTATCAACAGAATCCAATTATTACAAAACACATTGGTTTTCAAAATTATTCAATGAAACATCTGACTGATTAAAAGATCTTATCATCGATGCTGTTGAGAAAAATGCTCCCGAACCATTGAATCGATTATTACAAATTTCAGCACTTAAAGAACAAATGTTTAATTTTGTTTTTAAATTTGTTTCATTGAGAGTAACTTCAATAATAATAATTTTTTTCCAATTTTTGTTAACATATCGATCAATAACGATCATAGAATTATTTATTTATAATTTTTGTTTTTTTATACTTGGAATTCATTATATAAATCATATATTCAAGATAGATATAGTTTGTTATTTAATATAATTTATTTATATTCTATAAAGCAAGATCAAAAAGCATTATAAAGATGCCTCTATAATACATTAATGTAAGCCAGAGATCTACATTATAATAAACAATAAAAATTATTATCTATATAATCATTTTATAAATGTCTTTATGTCCTCTTTTTAATATAAAAGTACCTATTTGTGTATACAGTACTAATACTAAATATATTGCAATAATTGTCAAAAAAACACTTTCATAACATTGTTCATATAAATAATATGTAAATTTTCAGTATCCATAACACATATAATATACTTCTGAGAATTTCCACACAAAACAGATAAGCTAGAAAACACATTATTATTAAAAGATAATTCAAATAATGATAATTAATATTAATTGTTAAAGTACATACGTCAAGCATTTTTTTTTCTTTTTTTTTCTTTTACAAATTGAATGGTTTATTTATAGTTTATGATATCTTTATTATTAAAGAAAAACAAAAAAAAAATAAAATTAAAAAGAAATAAAACAAAAAAAAAACAAAAAAAAAAACATACATCAGCGTTTTTTTTAATTTGTCAAGAAAGAAAAAGAAAAATAAAAAAAAATATCTATTTATAACAAATAATTATATGATTACACAATTATGTCATCATTACCTTTTTTATTTCTTCACTGACTTGTTTGATTTTATCCATCTTACTATCCAACAGCTCACTCTTCTCATACTTGATATCTAAATTTTCTAACGATTCATTTGCTCTCTGATTGGCTTTGTTTATTATTTCATTATTAGCATTGTTTGTAGCATTCAATTCATCATTTTCTTTGGTTAATTTCACATTATTTTCATGTAATTCATTATTTTCTTGTTTTAAAGCAGCATTTTCTTTTCATAAATTATCCAGCAGAGCTTGTATTCTGCTTGTTTGTGGTGATATATTTGTGTTCATCAACTAAGAAAAAAAAAAAAAACATAAATTATTATTATGAATTGTTAAAACTTGTTCGTTCAAATACTAACATAATTTAAAAACAATATCAACTTTTCCATTGAGAAAAAATAAACTTACATGTCAAAAAATTTATATCGCTTGTTAAACATAATTCACACAGCCTAATATTCTTTATAAAACAATTTTCAATCTACATAAATATAATCAGTGATCTGATATAAATTAATATAGGCATTTAACTATATGTATATAATTTTTATAATACAATATAAATAAAAATTTTACAAAAATTTTTATTTATATTGTACTGTAAAATTTATATGTATAAATTCAAATATTATTTATACTATATTTTAAATTATTTTATACATATAAATTTTATTTATATTGATTTTTATATAAATGCATACTCTATTCTGATTTTTTTTATTAAAAAAAAAAAATCTAAAAAATAAAGTAATTATTATATTATTTTTTTTTTTTTATATTATTTTTTATATTATTGATAATTTTTTTGCTTTTAACAGATTATGAATAAGAAAATTCTTTTTGTCATTGTGTTAATAATTTTTTTAAATTTAAGTTGCGCTGAGCAACCCATTCAACAAAAAAAATCTTGTTCTATATGCCATGCTGTTGACATCAATATGTTTGGATATAACAAACGTACACATGTTACTATTGGAAATTACAAACGCAAACATGATTCTATGAACAAGATCAAGTGCAGCATCTGTAGCAAACCTGGCCACAACCAACAAACCTATGGTCATCACTAAGCTTTTCTAAGTTTTTTTTTAAATTATGTTTATTAAAATATGTTTTTTTATATATTTTTTTTTTAAAAAAATAAATAAATATAAATTTTTAAAAAATAAAATTTAATTTTTATAAAAGTGATAATTGCAAAATAAAAGCGATGGTTGTTTCTATGTTTTTGTTGTAAAATATAAAAGAACAATAATAATAAGGACAAATAAAATATTATTAGCAGTTTCAAGTTTGTCTAAATATTGTTGATTTTTTTCTTTTTTTTCTTTCATACATTTTTTATGTTGTTCATCCATTTCTTTCATATGTTTTTTATGTTGCTCATCCATTTCTTTTATATATTTTTCATGTTCTTCTTTCATTTTTTTCATTCGTTTTTTATGGTTTTGGTTATCTTTTTTTATTTCTTTTATTATTTAAAACATATAAATAAAGGGAGAAACTGATAAAAAAAACAAAAAAAAAAACAACAAATATAAAAAATGTCATTTCATTATATTTCTTTTAAAGATTTTAAAGAAATGGATGAGAATGATCCTATTAAAAAAAGATTCACAGAAAAACAACACACAGAGACAAAGCAATCAGACAAAAAATAGACAAAATACCTAAGAATATTCCTATCGAAGAACAAAACAAAATGATTTTAAAAATTTATGATGATGATTTCAGAAATAACAATAAATAAACACTTACAACTTCAAGTTCAAAGAGCAATTTCATAGGAAAGCTGTTATTCTTACATCTCTAAATATGAATCATCTTAACTTCATCAAATAATATTGTATTTTTAACATCTTTATAATCTTTGATATCAGTATTTTTTAAATAATATCTTATCACATAGTCTTTTTCAGAAAAATCGATAGATTCACCATCTTTATTTTCAAATATAAAACAAAGTTTATTATCTCTTTTTTCAAATAAAAAAGTTGTCTTTCTATGTATAACTTTGAAAATAAATATATATTTTTTTAATAATAGTTATTAAAAAATAAAAAATAAAAATAAAATAAAATATCTACCCTTTTTAATAAATTTATTGATTTGAAAAAAAGAAAAGAAAAACTAAATGCATTTATACAGAATTAATTATTTATTTGTTTTAAAAATGATATTCTATTTATACAATAAGTTACTATTTTGTAAAACTATGGCTTGTTGATTGAGAAAGGCAATTTACATGAATTGATAATTATCAAAATGTTCTGATAAGAAAAATAGCAAACTCTTCACAATTAACCATCCATTTTCTTTCGTATAAGGTTGAGAGCATTGACATAACTCCCAACATTTTAACAATCTGGTTTTAAATTTTATTTTTTATTTAATTTTAATATCATTTATTTATATTGTTTTTTTAATCTTTTTATTGTTATATGAAGAAATATATAAATACCTTAAATTCAATATGTTTAAATTTAATTTTTGTTATTAAAAATGTCTTGGTCAGAGAAATTTGAAAACTTTGAATATGCTGTTGATTGGATCAAAGTAACGAATTCAGACAAACCTAAACATAAACTAAATGAGTATAGAACAGTTCTGATCAATTACAAACTGTATTATGAAGTCAAGACACAGAAACCAAACATCACATTTCTGATCGATATCAAGAACTTCCATCTCTTACAGAATTACACCTGGTATTCTGAGAAAAGTAAAAATAAAAATGCATATTATATTAGAGCAAGTGATAAAAAGAAAAAGTTGCTTCATCGAATAATTCATCCTGAATGGAAAATAACAGATCATATTAATCGCAAAGGTCTTAACAATTGTGAATGTAACTTGAGAGAAACAACTAATAAAAAGAATTTATTAAATTGTAAATTACAAAAAAATAATACTTTAGATTTTAATAGAATAGGTTTTGATAAAAATTATAAAGCCTGGAAATTTAAATAGTATGAAAATAATAAACTTAAAACTAAACATTTTCCTATTACAAAGTATATAAATTCAGAACAAGCAAAGCAAGTGGCTATAGATTTTAAACTGGAGCATGACAAAAAAACTGGTAATCGAAATGGCTATACTATAACTTATTAGTGATGATGAGAATTTTAGAACTTTTGAACAAAGAATGCATAAAAATCGAACACCAATAGTTTATTTAAAACTTAAATTTGTATATATTAAATTATAAACAATAAATAAAGATTAAATAAAAATTTATATGTAAATGCTTAATCATGTATCTTGATTTAAAATTGTATGAATCTTCAAATATTCAACTTTTGATCTTGGCGTTGGCCCTCTTTTCCTTTTCTTATCTGATGGTTCACAAATTACATTTCGTTTGATGCATTGAGCACAAGGTCTTTGTTCAATGCATTTAAGTTTTTTAAGTTGGCAAAATTTACATGCAGATGTAATGTTAAATCATTTTGCTTTCATTTTTTTTTTATTTGTATAGTTGATGAAAAGAAATTTGGTCGTTTAAATATTTTTCCGGATAAACCTCTTTTCTATAAACCCATTAATAGAAACGATTTCCAAATTCGATTATTCTAAAGAATGTTTTTAGCCCTTCATGATTATCCTTATTTAGAAGCAATGAATGCGATTTAATATTTCCAAATTTACTCTCATTTTCTTATCTTGTTGTCTAACTTTAAACCTAAATTCTTTTCGATTGTTTATATTTCACTTACAAATTTATACTTCAATTATCTTTTGTTACAAAAATGTCTTATTTTGAACCCCATCTGGCAGAATTCCTAACAACCAACAGGAGATTTTTGACGACTTGCCTCCTTCTTATGAGCAGTCTCAAGCTTCTAGTATTTAAACATCCACTTTCTTTCTTACGATCTTTGCAAATATTTTGTTCAACCAATTTTACACAATTTTAATCAAATTTACTTTATCAACAACAACAAATTTATTTTCAACAACAATCATAACAAAAATGACTGCTTTTTATTTAGTTGTTGAACAAGTCGAAACTATTACTGAAGAAGTTGTTGCTTCTTTAGAAGGTAATTTTTAAATTATTTATTAAAAAACTTGTCAATTTATTAAACAAAAACTTTTATTTAGACAATGAGTTCACTGAACAAATAATAGATGAACTCTCAAATCTGTATGAGAACAAAATACATTCTCTTGAAAAATCAATTATGACTTTAACAGATTATTTAAAGTTATTAAAAAATATTATTTTTGTTTTAATTTTTGTTATATTTATTATTTTATTTTTATTTGGTTCTTATATTTATTATACTCAGAATGTTCATTTGATGAATATTCAACTTCTTAGCTCTCATGTTGAAGTTGAAATGAAAAAAGAGCTTTTCAATAATTATTTAGAATTGATTCAAAAACAGTTCTTAGAATTTGTTGAATCAATTAAAATAAAATAGTTTTTTTTTTGTTGTTAGTTTTCTTTCTTTATGATGTATTTGAATTTAATTAAATTCAATTACATCATAAAAAAAGAAAACATTAATGTATTTTTTATTTTTTATAAATTTGAATTTATTAATAAAATTATTAAATATTTACAAATACATGAAAATGTTTACATTGAATAATAAAGTAAAATGTTATAAAATACTAAAGAAATCTATATTCTTTAAAATTTTTACCAATAAAAAACAAGTCTTTAATTTTAAACCATCTTTCAGGATTATTATCATTCTCATCCCATTGACTAATTTCAATATTAAATGCTTTTAATTCGTCATTTCTTGTTGGTTTCACTTCATGATTAGCCAAGGTAGTTGGATTTAGAAGTGTTCATAAAACAACTTGAAACATAGTAGGACTTTCTTTAAGAAAACTTGCTGCTGCAGCTTGGTCTTCTTCTTTGAAAAAATGTAAATATTTATATCCAGGTTGATCAGAAGTTGCAAATGAATAAATCATTTTGTCAAATTGTTTCAAATTCAAAAATTTATTAATGTATTTTTTGAATGAAAGTTTGTTAATAAATGAAGGCATTGCTTAGTTTGTTTATTTATACTAATTATGTTGATTTTTTTTTTATTTTTCATTATGTAAATCTCATCAATTAAATAAAAAATCCTTATCGAAAATTAATTTTTCTAAACAAAGCAATTTTATTTATTATTTATCAAAGTGTAAACCAATAAAAAATTATTTGAAATCATATAAAAACCAAATAAAAAATAGGCGTTATTCAGACTTTCTCAACACTTTTGAACAATTTTTACCAAGTAATAATATTTATTTATTGTTTTTTTTTAAAAAAAAAAATATTTAATAATATAATTATAATGTTTAATAATAGATGGAGAACCAAGAAATTGAATTTCAAAACTATATTATTGAAGTTGAAGAACGTGTCGATATTAAAATCCTTTTCTTTAAAGAAAAAAGAAAAAATTCCAGAAAACATCGTTTGTAAGAAAAATTCAAACAAATCTGAATCTATTGAAAGTGATATTTTAAATAGAAGAGAAGGATTTATTTTATCCAGATATCATACTTATATTATTTCTTTAAATATTCCCAATGGTGTTCACAGCATTATCATCCATGGAATAGATAAATAATGTAATATATTTTATTTTTATATATAATAAAGTTTTGTTTAAATAATAGTTGAAAGCAATATATTGTTATTATTATCATAAATTGTGATATCAGGATTTGCATTACCCGGTTTGAATAAAACTTTTATATTAAGTTCTTGCATAGTAAGAGGAATATTATCTAAACTAGCAATGAAATTGTTGATTTTAATTTCAATTTTGTTTGTGTTTTTAGATTCAATCGTGTTAGCCATTTTTTTGGGTTTTTATTAGCGAGTATGTTATATTTATACAAAGTTTATACTATAGAAATATTTGATTAAAAACTAATGAGATAACCATTTCGATTGCCAGTCTTCTTATCATATGCTAGTTTAAAATCTATTACTAATTGTTTTTCTTTACATAAAAATTATGGGATTTTATAATTTTTAATTGACTCTAACAACCCATTAAAAAGATCATTTTCATGTTTTCTTCGCCATGAAAATTCTTTTAAATGTATTTCAGGTTTGTGTTTACACATGTCTCTCTTCAACATATTCATCTTAATGCCCGACCAATTTTCTTCTATTGTGTTTGTATGAATTCATTTTAAAGTTAAACTTTTACTTGGTCTTTTATGATTTACTCTTCAATGCTTAAAACCAAGTTTTTCTAATTTTGAATAGCCTTTTCATGAGTCTGAATAAATAGTTGAACCAGGTTTAACATGTGTTTTTATTAACCTTTTTAATGTATTGGCATTCCTATCTTTTACTATTTTAAAGAAACATTTTCTTAGTTTTGTTCTTTCTACTAACCCAACTGTTCACCATGATTCATTTTTTTTGAACTTAGATTCGTCAATTTCAACAATAACTTTTTCATCGCCAATTTTAGTATCTTCTTTTACTAAGCTTTTTGCAATTATGTTTCTAAACATTTTAATAAATCTAATTATCATGAATGAGTCATGCCTTGTAAATTTTCTGATTGTTGTATATCTTGCTTTAATCAACCAAAGGTACCCAATTAATAAAATCTCATTGCATTTTAGTTTATGCTTATAAAAAATCATGTTTTTTAAAACTGAAGTCATTTGTTTCGTACAATTAGCATAATTAAAAATTTTTCTTGTCGAAACAAAATATAATATTTTGTATCCACAGTGCAAACATTTAGTTGGTTTTTTCAAAATTCCCTTCTCAAAAAGAAATTCTACATATTTTTTCTTATCAAGCAGAATTTTGTTCAATTCATAAAAACTTAAAAATTTCATTTTTTTATCTAAAATATGTGTTTTTAACTAGAATTTATCTTTGATTTGCAATTTTTTTAAATTTATGTATTTTATAAATTTTTGTGATTATTTTTTATTATTTTTAGTTCTATTTTATCACATAGAAATTATTTTTTGTGATATGATTATTGGAAAATGAATGCTATTTATATTGTTTATATTTCATTAATATAGTATAGGTACATGTCCAGTGTTACATGTACCTATACTATAATTTTTGTTTATCTCTAATTTTTTTAATTTTTTTTTATTTTATTTATATAATATCATAGTAGAAACTTTAAAATACAATAAGAAATTTAATTACAGAAAAAAATTCCTAAAATA